AAGTTCTATAGCTTCTGATGTTCTCTAGTGAGATGTGAGCCAAATACTTATGTACTATGCTGGTGGGCTGATAGCAAAGTGTCTTGATCAGTGCCTGGGCCAGGTGGCTAGACTTTACATTTTTTAAGTCATATATTCTAATCGTAATTTTGAGCTATCACCTAGTTACTGTAAAGGCCTTACGATTTTCTGGGCTGGGGTCAATGTAACATGATGTTGGTATGTGTAAACAATGTACAAATTCATGGAAAAATCATTTATGCTTTCTACTTGTTCTCCTAGAATCTGTTTCCCCAAACAAGCCCAATACTAGTTTGTTACATTGTTTAATTAAATATATGTATATTTATATAATGAAAAGTTGGTGGGTGTTATGTTGTGAGCTTTCCAAAAGCTGTTCACTGAAAACAATTCCTAAGAGATCAGACACAACAGGGCAGTCACTTAGTGAGGTTTGTGATATTAGTTGTTCATTGAAGAAGGAAATAGAGAAGAAAAGAACAAATAGACTGAAACAGCAAGCGCTTTCAGCAAAACTTTTAGACAACATAGATTGACTGTTGGTAGTGCAATTCTGTAGAATCTGGATGGTAGGTATGTTGGGCAGCTGTTCTGCATTCAGAAAGAGCCAGGATTCCTGCAAGAAATCTTCCTATTGACACAAAAGCAAGAAAGGGAACTCCAGATCATTTTGAAATATTTCTGCAGAAAAGCATATTAAACCTAATGACTGCATACTGGGTGATGGAGGGCACTTATTTGGGAGAAAAATATTTTTTAATGACTTCATTTGTTCATTTTTAGAAAACAGTAAAGTTGTCATGTTATAAACTCCCAGAGATACTCCTGGGTGAGCTGTTGAAAGGTAATTTCAGCACACCTAGGGCTCTAACACTGCAATATAACCTGTTGTGTCTGACTCCTTAATCATGCTGCGGCATTTAGAAATCATTCCCTGTAGCTGGCAAAACTGTCTTGCAATAACACCATTATCACAACTTACAATTTTACAGACATTTTTGCTTAGGCAAATACACTGAACTAGACTAAGTACACTGCAGGCATTGAATTGCCAAGCATTGTGAATCCCTTATGATCTAGCGATGTGTCTTATATAATAAAAATATATAACATTTTCATAAGAAATTATCACTGTTATAAAACATGCAGATGTTTCTAACTTACATAAAACTGCCTTTTCCAAGAGATCACACGGAGTTGTGGACTGAGATAGAGAATTTAAAAGACAAAGCAATACCTTATATTGACTTGGAGACTAGAAATCTACTATCAAATGATATATTTTGAAGAAAATTTTAATGCTGGCTGTGGTAAAAATGCTTTCAACAGTCTGCTAAGCTCAGTTGAGGTTTACTAAACTCAGAAGTGTATAGAACAAGCAATTCAGCATGTAGTAGTCTTAGTGCTCAAGGAACAGACATACACTTTGAGGAGGAAACCAGCTAATGATCTGTAATATCAATATAGCAAAATATCAATATGAGTGGAAGGTTGTATCTGTTAATGGTAAAAGCATGTTTAATTTGCAAGGATTTTTGCTGACATTTACAAAGCTTTTAAGATTTTGAGTAGTGCACATGAAGAAAGTTTACTTCTGTCCATGCACCTCTGCAGCAATTGTTAGGCTTCTGCACTGTCAGATCACGTCTAAGCTGGTTGAGTTGATCATTAATTTTTGCAGCTCATGGCTCAGAGGGCCCTCAGGGCACAGTGACCAACAGCAAACTTGTCTCAGGGCACAGTGAATTGTCCTTGTTAAAATTAGAGGATGTATGTTTAATCTGACAGAGTAGGTCAGTCAGGAAATATTTTTCCTTGTTTGTTGATTACATGCATTTTACATATGGTTTGTCATTACTATCTGTAAAGAGCCATTATGTGATTTTTATAAATACAAACAAACTGATTATGGAATCAGAGCATTTTACATTTGCAGATAATAAATGGACTGTGAATGAGATGGAAATTAACCTGTTTCTTCTATTACAGTCAGCATGAAGATATGATTTTATGTATGTGACATACTTGAGGTGTACTTGAAAAACTATTGAGTGTATTGTTCTTTGCTGAGTGAAACAAATCCATTCATCTTTGTTAATGGAAAGAATGACAGAAGATGACAAGTAATGACATATAGCATTGCTATTAGTATATTTAAAATAGCAATGCCTTTTTTCATATTGAAAGTTAAGAAATAGCATGCTGTATGGGAACTACTGAGTCATGGCCTGAACCTCTGATTGATCACCTGAGGCGAGCCATGAGTCAGCCAGAGGAACACAGGTGAAGGCAATTCACCTGTGCTGTCAGAAGGGGTGGAGCCAGGCTCCACCTCTCCTAGACCTCTTTAAGAGCTGGCTACAAGTGGGGAAGGATCTTGTTTGGGGATCCCTCCTTCTGGTGTTTTGTGGTGAGCCCAACTAAGGGTAAGCCTTCCATTTATTCTATTTTGTTATCATAGTCTACTTTGCCTAACTCTCTTGTTTTTTTGTGATTGTAACATCCTAATATTCTTCATTTATACACATGCTCATTCTGTTCTAGTTATTCTTAAAAAAAAACAAACAAAAAAAACAAAAAAAAAACATGCTACTTTGCATTTTGGATAGATGAAAGTACTTTGTTGCCAAGTGGCCTTCAGTGCTGGCTTAAAAAACCATTCTAGCATGAGTCCTGTTATCAGGAGCTCCTGAAGGTGAATGACCTTGATGGATATTCAGTGTTTTTGGATCTAAGAATAGAAAGATCTAACTGGAAATCAAAATTCAAAGCCTGAATTCACATTTTCAGCCCTTAGGAGTGGAGGGGAAATTGAAATGCTGTTTGTTTAATTTGCAAACTATTAATCTATATTCGGGAGCGATGGGGGATGCCAGCTTTCTTAGAAAAACAACTACACACAGGCAATGCAAACTATACGTAAAGAAGCTGATAAAGCATTCTTCACAGCAAGGGCCTTACTTTAAAATTCACAGAATTGGTGGCTGCGAGTCTCAGAGGTCACCTTACACAGTGTGATTCAAAGCTGACACCTTCATCCCATATTCATCCTATCCTTGATGCCTACAATGCATTATTAGACTCCAAACTGAGTCAATTCTTAAATAAATCTTGCTTAGGAAATGTTTTTAATGCTGCAGGAAATATGGAATAGACTTCAAAAATAGAAACTTCCAAGTATAATCTAATCAAGATAAGAAAAAGCCAGAGATCTGAAAACCAAATGGAATTATAATGAGGCAAGCATGAGGAAGTTCTAGCAAGGACAGTGAGACAGATAAATATTACTGATCAGTCTATCCATAGCAGAGGTGTCTGTGTGGAATTTTATATGCAATTGCATAGACCTGGAACACTCTGAACTCAAACTAATTGTAAAATAAACACTGTGGTTATTCATCTACACAACAAAGCAAACTCTGTCCTAGACTCTGGGCTGATATCCCTACGTTCCTCAGCCACAGTTTTACTGTTTTTATACTTTTGTTCTGTTATTTTCTATACCTATACTTTTCATCACGCAATACAAAACAAGCAAAAAAACAAAACAAAACAAAAAAAAAACAACACTAAAACACTAGGTAAGCAGCAGAGGAAGTATGCACTCTCATTTGGCTCAGGCAAGAGTTGTGGACCTTCAGTAGTAGTAACACATTTGATGTTAGTGTATCTTGAATTTCCAGATGGAGTCTTTATACTTCAAACTCTTCAGGTGGTCCAGGATGGGGATGTTAATTTAATAACAGGCAGAATTAATTTTCACTTCATATCTGAACTAATCAACATAAAAATAATCTACATTATTGTCCATATAAAAAAAATCCTTAATTTTTATGGATTGCCATTAATTTTTTTAGGATTTTTAATATTTTAATAGTTCCATATTAAAAATACCATGTATTTGGAGCGTAAATTCTTCTTAGGCCTGAGAGTGTGTCTAGAAGCTTCAATTCTGACCATTATATATGTGTAGAGAAAAGTACTTGGATCTAATTCCCCATCTGCCATTACTTTATCACACCTGCAAGCAGAGGGATCCTGATCCAGGTATGCTTAGTGCTGCTGGGCTAGTGACCAGACAACACTTCATCAGTTTCAATGAAGCCACTTTGGCCAGGTGAAGAAAAAACATCTTTACAGGGAGGGGAAGATTCTGGTAATATTTTAGGAAGATAGCATGTACAAGGGGCTGTATGGTGGCCTGGGTTGAAAATGTACTTAAAAGACATCTTGGTGTCTTTGATATTCTCACTATATATCAATTTTTCAGTCCATTAGAAGTTTGGAAATAACAGATGTTTGTTAATAAGGAACTAACTGATTTAATGATTTTTAAATGTTTTAGCAATTAACAAAGCCAGATTAAATGTAATGAGAGAGGGAAGTGTAGAATAACTCTTAAATCATCATTTCATTAATACTGCACTTTAAAAGAACAAAAAGAACAGCTTGGGGTAACACAAAACAAGATTTTCATTCTTTTCAAGACTGCTTTGTTTGGTTTGTTTGTTTTTTTAGAAGTGGGTTATGTTTCACAATGTAATAACTGGCTAATTCTTACCAAGCTGTTATGACAGAAATTTTGGGGAGTACCTTTTCAGAAGGTGAAGATAAACATATTTGGATAGGAGTGAAGAAGGTCTATGGGAGGGTGGGAATTTGCAGTGCTACTGCAATTTATTTTCTGAATGTTTTCCGGATGGTGCACAGCAGAAGAAGAAATGAACAAAATATGGTTGGATCCAAAAGAGATGTATTTGCCTAAGGGAATATTAAAAATGCCAAGTACAAAATTGTACAAAACCTCCTTGCATACCAGGTAGATATTTAAAAGTTGAATATGATTCAGCGTTGTTTTTTGTTGTTTGGCTTTTTTTGGGGAGGTTATCCGTGCATGTTTTTCTATATTCCTGCACTGTCTTGTATCTAGCTCGCAGTTAAGCTACCAAGTAAATTGTTCTTCTGCCTTTCTCTCCAAAGCAATGCAAACTGAATAAGAACACAGTCCAAATGCACCAGTGCCAGTTGTTTTCCTAAGGGCTGTTGGAGTGTAGGGAAAACACCCCTGAAAGGTAAGAAAGCAGGCCTGTTTATGTGCTACTTCTCTCCATGTCTCTCATCTCTCAGAATAATGCAGCAAGTAACAGGTTTACAGGTAGTCTGCAGGCAAAGAATCCCCATAAAAGCTGTTTTGCTTCCCATAAGCTATCTGAGATTTGGTGCATTAGAGAGAGGAAATGTGTCCTCTTAGTACACAGGAAATACTGTATGTGGGGCTTGAGCCATAATGGAAATTCACATAATAGCTGTGAAATCTAAATGGGACTCTGCACCACAAACATTTACTCCTGGAAAGTCGGGATTACTCATGCGATTGAGCATCTGTCAGAACTGAACCTTAAATATGTCACACATACAACCTGATTGTGGATGTGAATATATAGTGATGCAAAAATATAAACACATAAATATGCCATCCTTCATGTAGCTGTTGGTGACTGATAGAATCAACTGCTTATTGAAAATTAATTCTTAATTAAAATAAGAATTATTATTGTTTTTTTCTTTTTTTTCAGAATGGTAGGAAACTAATTAGAGCTCTAATTAAGCAATTTCACCTGACATAGTTATCTGAACTATGACTATATAATATAACTAATTATAATAAGTATATAATATATAACTATTACTGATGAGTTAACATCAGTAGTGCAGTGAAAAATTTTACATGCTAAGGGAAATCTGCTCACATTCTTTCAAATCCCCTGAGTTTTGTGTCTATTAGTTTTATGGCCTCTGTAGGCTTTTGACTGGGAATTGCATAGATTTTATTCTGCTTTATTTTTCTGATGTACATTAGCACAGTGAGTGTTATTTTTCTTGGGTAGTTTACTTGGTTTTTTTTGTGTGCGGTGGGTTTTTTTTCTTAACATCCTCAAACACGAAGAAGGTGTGAATGTTAAGCAATAGCAAGGGACAGGATTTCATGAGTCAGATGACTCTTTCCAGGTTCTTCATTCCCAATTCATGCTTTGCTTCGTGGTGTTCCTGCATGTAGGCTGTAATATACTTAGATACCTGATCCTTCCTCTGCATTGTTTCCTATTTTAGCTACACAATAGCAGCCTCACACAATTCTGCCTTTTAGCTCTATTTGTTTTGTAAGATTTTGCTCAGGACAAGCATTCAATATTACACAGCCAGGTAAAGTTATATCCAGCTGTCTGTGCACTACTGAGATAAATTATAGACCTGCAACACAGTGTCCTTTTCACATTAAAATACACATAAAAAAATACTCCCCCTCCTGTTTTACAATGGAAAAAAAAAAAAAAAGAATACTTGGCATTTCGGAATCCTCATATTGCACTTTCCCCACAGCCATTTGAAACCATTAATACCTTTAGGTGCTTTCTCTTAGGGTGGAGAGAGATGATGAACTTGCCTTCCTTATTCTGTGCAAACCCTTAACTTTTAGCAACTAGTAAATCTGACCCAGTTTTGCTGAAAGAGAAGAAAAAAAGAATATTTAAAATCTTTTAATTTGAGAATTTGAAAAGACTTGTTATTTCCAGGATTTTTTTTTTTTTTTTTTTTTTTGCACTGAACAAGGCTTTGAACCTATCTGACTTTATTCTGGGAAACGCTCCAGCTTTTCTAGTAAGTTATAGTTACTATAAGGTCAGCGCTTATTGGTAGTCTACATCTAAAGAGACTTTTGAGCATATTTCTTATCTAATGTATTGAGACTTGCTGCTTGAAGCCAAATTATCCTAGCAGATGTGTTTGGGTTAAGTGGAGTTATGTTCAAATTGAAATGGGGTCAGCACTTAATTCTTCTGCATAATGGCCAAGCATCTATCTTCAACCTGTTAAATGGGAGAAGGTCTTTCTGACCGTCCTCGAGGACTATTGAACACAGGAAAAGGATCTGAAGTGAACCAAGTATTCTGCTGGCATATTCTTGTGTTAATTAATTATGATAGGATGCATCTGAGAGTCAAGTTAGTTCAGGGTTTACTGTAAGACAAAATATAGTTGCCTTTCCCAAGGATCTTCACTTCAGATAAACCTGATGATTTTTTCTGTTACTTACAGAAGAAAGAGTTCAGCTTGAGGTACTTTGATGAGGCAAATGGAGCAATGGAATATCTCAACAGAGGTACTGAACACTGCCCTGAAGGCATTTTAAACTCATGTGCTTTGTTTTTCCTAAGGGTGTGTGTGCTGCACTATGGAGCATAAAAGATGTAAGAACTCTGGGCTGCAATTTCACCAGTAGCAAATACAACTGGGAGTGTATGTAATGCTAGGCTGAATACTAAAATGCCAGTGGCTGTTAATGAAATCTTTCTTGTATTTTTTTACCCAACACATAAAATTAAAATCATATATTTAGTTGAGTCAGGAGAGTGAAACACTTAAATGAAAAGTGAAGCCTCACCGAGAACAGATTAGAAAGCAGGAACACCTCTTGAAATATTTTATTGAAAAAGAGCTTAGCGAGCCAGAAAGAGCTTTGCTTTCTTGATCTGAGTTTCTGTCGGGAGAGAACATTTTCTGTGACGGAGTTTCTGCTGTTGTAACACCATGAGGGCTTCCCAGTTATAGACCATGCTAACTATCTAATGTGACCTTTTGCATAAAGTAGGTTGGAATGAAATTCCATTTCTGAGATTTCTTGAACAAGCTCTCCTTTTCCATTTGGAAATACTACTTGGTTTTGAACAGAATTCCCGACCATCACGTTTTTCCTAAAAGACCAGAAGTCTCTGCCATTGTTACTGTTGGCCCACAGCTATTGGTCTTGACTCCAGTGTGCCCACAAAGACAAACATCCACATGTTCAGAATCTAACAAATCATACCAGAGGATGAACAACCGTAACTTACAGGTTTTATGTGATGAAGAATGTACTATGGAAAACATCTGATATTTAGCCTCTACCACTATTTTGCACTTTTGAATAATTATATCCATGGCAGGATTAAAATAACCAAAACATGGTCTTACTGAATCCTCTTTCCTACAATTCCCTCCTTTGCAAAAAAGCAAATGGTACAGCTGAGTAGCCATAATATTCTTTCCAGCTGTCTAACAGCCTGGAGTGCTGTTACTAGCTCCAGTTCACAGCTGTTAACATGTAAGCCTTAGCAACATAAAGAATAAATGGCAGCCTCCCTGAATATACAATTTCATAAATGAGGGGAACACTTGAAAGCCAACCATCACTGGGCTCTTTCCTTTCATGAGATGGAAGTTTCTCATTTTCTGATTCCTGTTGCCTCTTATGATAGAACTTGGTGCTTATATCATGTTTTTGATCTTCAAAGTGCTGTATAAACATTAAGTAATTAATCCTTCAAGCATCCCCTGAATGAGATGACAGCGCAGTATATCTGTATGTTTTCTGCTAGTGTTCTTGGGAAAATATTGGAAAAGACTTTAAAAGGAGACCTTTGTGCATTCGTATGTTTAAGCCTTAGTGTTACGTATGTCTGAACAACAGAGATTCCTTTAAGGGTACACAGCAAATCAGTAACATGTCTCAGTATTTATCTGATTATTATTATTTTCATTAGATGGCTGAAAACTAATATGTATTTCCCTTCTGCAACTTGAATAACTCTCTGACACAATCTCAGGGTCTTATGCCTCACTCATCCCTGAGATAAAAGTTAGTACATGAAGGTAATTTGATTAATCCTATTTTAGGCAGGATCTTGTAACTCCTACCCTTGTGACTGATTTCCCCCTCACCCACCCTTATCTTTCTAGCGTCCTACCCTAGCACAAATTTCCTTGTTTGTTCTATTCCTTTTTCTGCCCCAGAACAAAAGTCCTGATGTAAAATTAGATTCAATTCAAAAGATATGCGTACATAAGTTGTAGGACTTAGCTTTTGGGACTCTGGTATTAAGTTCATTTCTTCTGACACTATAATGTCTTGAGACATACCTGCAACTTTTATCTGTCTGTAACCTTAGACAAATTTGAGCACATTTTCTCTTATTTTCTGCTTGCTGTGGAAAGTACAGTAGCCTGTTCATCCTCAAGATGTGTCCAGGAGAGATAACAACCTTATAAGGCAGGGAGCAGGCAGCTGGGCAACTGTTACTGTCTGCGGTCATGACACTTGCTAGAAATTCATATCTCACTGTTTTCTCAAAATCATCATGCTTCCAGGCCCTAGCTCTTGTTGCTATATTAGACTTTTTCTCCTTACAGTTCTGCATATGCTGAGTTACTCCTTCTCAAATTACTAATGACAAAATCCTTTTTTTTCCTGGTATCGATTTAGATGAATGCAAGAATGTGGCAATCAGAAATTCACCTCATCTGCCAGGCATATCAACCCGGAAAAAAAAAAAAAAAAAAAACCCAAAAAACAACAAAACAACAAATTGAATCTTTCTCTGCAGTTATCTTTACTCCTTAATTTACCAGTCCATCAGATTATACTTTCTGAGGTTAATGAAAATTTGGATTTTTCCTTTCTATGATATAACAAAAAAAAGTTACTAGAAGTTCTTTATGCTGATGTCATCTAAATCTGTATATTTTCACTATTACACCATGTGTGCTGCACCTGACAGTTAACTGTCTTCAACAGGCACAGTCACTCTCTCTTTCAGAAAAACTATTTCATAGAAAACTGAGTAATAGTCACGAAAACATTTTTTCCACGTATTCCTACTTTGGTTTGTCATCACCAACATGCACTCTTCTTCTTTTGACCTCTGTTTTATCTTTCATAATGTGTCCTGATCACTTTCCCATGTAGTTATTCTTTAGAGGACAGAATAAAAATGACTCTGTGGTGTGGTTTTGTTGACCTTTTTTCTTTTCTTTTCATGTTCTTAACAACCTTCATATAACCTGTTAAATGTGCTTTTTTACTGTTGTCTATAAGCAGAATTAAGAGATTCCCTTGTGACTTCAGAGTAGTGGCTATCAGCATGAGCTTCCAACCAACTGTCCTAGTTGCCTGATTGCTTCACTATCCACATATGCTGCTTCACCCACACTTTCTCAGTTTTTTTTTTAATCAGACTTTTTCATGTTCTTATTATATGCTCTAGAGAATGTGCTTGCTACTATCAATGTTATCGTATGCATGTATTCAACTGGTAAGCTCTATATTTTTAACATGATTTATAAGATTTGTACTGTTAAGACAACTTGCTAGTTTCTTTTATAAGCACTGGCAAGCTGTTTTCATTGGGTGTCAGATAATCTCAGTCATCCAAAGAAGTTTTTATACCAATCCATCTTCACCAATTTGGATTCTTCTGTCACAAGTCAGTAGCTTTTCCCATTTTATTTTACTGCTGAAAGTAGGTTGTGCAGCACTCAGCTTGAAGGAGATCTGTTGTCTTTAAGGCTTTCAGTTTTCTGTCCCAGTTCCTCAAGGACTGGCACCTCTTTACAGTCAGCTTGTTTGGCATCCCAGGCTCTTGCCAGACTCGTAGTTACTTGAAATCACAATTTGTTCCTCAGGAAGCATTCATGATACAGGCATAATTTCATAGTAGGAGAAATACTTTTTAGAATATACAATAATTCATTTTATCAAATATAAAAGTATCTAAATATCTTCTTGTGCTTTTCAGAGTATAATCTTTATAATTACTAAAAATCCTAGATCAATACCATGATCTATAAACCAACACCTAACTTGGGGGATGTAATATTTCATTTCCTTGCTGTCAGCTTTGCTACTATGGGAACACCATCTGTATCTTTATGAAGAATCCTTATTTGCTAGCAGGGTTGTCATAATTCTGTGCCAGTGCGCTAATAATGCTCTGAAATTTTAAGTAATAATGTTGTTTCTTTTATTCAATTGCATATTTCTTATTTTCTCGGCATTGCCTAAACTAATCTTATGTCAGAGAAAGTATCGCACTACATACTATTTTATTTGTCTTGAATGGAGTTCTATGGCCCTTCTGCTGTAGGCTATTGGGATTTTTAATGCATTTTCAGAGTCTTACTCCTGTTTGGAAGATCAGAGACTGCCCAGAAATGTGTATTTCCCATTGTGCATCAGAAGGCAGAGAGTGAAATTTTGATCTTCAATACTCTTACTCTGAGTTATTTTATTCTAAATCCAATTGGGAACTGATTTTCTGAAGTTAAAGAGTGGACTTTTCAGCCTCAGATCAGTCTGCTCTGATAAAAATCAGAAATATCTGAAATATATTTTTAGAATGGAGAGCAGTACTACTTAGGTTTCTGTACAAGTTAGGCACATCAGATGTTGTAAAATTGACCAACCATGAAAAATAACTGATGTATTCCATTTACTTGTCCTCATTACATGCAAGGGAAAATGTCATAAGAGCTTTCTTCCACATTTTCCAGCATTTCTAGAGAGATTCAGCTATGCTGATAGAGTTTTAGCAGTTCTATTCTATCATTCAAAGTTTCTTAGTACATTTTCTTTTACTCTGTTTTTTTTTTTTTTTTTTTTTTTCAGATCCTTTTAATTTAGCGCTACAGTTTATACAGCCTTTGAATTATGTAACAAAGGCTGCTTGAAAGCCCAGATTCCTTTCAGCATGGAAGCAGTCAAGAGACCAAACAGATTCCACCGACTCCTGAAGTAAAGCAGCTTGCAAACACCTTAGTTTCTTGTCGAAGGCTGTTAAGTTAGAAGAGTGTAAGGCTTGAGTGCTGTGGCAATGAATAAAAAGAAGGGAAAGAAGGGAATAGTCTTAAATGTTGCAAGAAATTAAGATCTGTTTTGTCCATTATGTCTTGCATAAATCCAAAGCTTCACTTTAAGGAGATGGCAACTTCTAATCTGTCAGTCCTTTCATAAATAATTTTTTAAAATGTAAACTCATGAAAACAAACCAACAATATACAAGCTCATCTACAAGAGCCGTTCCAAAAGTGATGCCTCCTGTTTTATTATGGTGGTCCACAACAACAGAGGCAGATAGTAGTGTTATGGCAAGAGAAGCTGGACCTTCCCACAAATATTCCATTACATTTTCTTGCCATGTGACAGATGGCAGCAGAGGGGGTGTCTGACGTAAGAGTGTGTGTGAAGCAAAGGTGAGAATTTGAATTTCTCCATGTGGAAAAAATGGTACCCAATGACGTTCATCAATGCTTGCTGACTGTTTCCGGAGAACAAACAGTGGATGTGAGCACAGTGAGGTAGTGGATGGTGCATTTCATCAGTGGCAACAGTGGATCTCCTCCACTACTGCAGTTCTTTATGAGCATGGCATGCAGGTTTTTGTTCATTGCTGGCAAAAATGCATTGCTAATGATGGTGACTATGTGGAAAAATAGTGTTTTAGCTGAGAATTTTCTATAACAAGTAGTGTTATTATATGCTTTATATCTGTTATATTTTCCATGAAAAATCATACTTTCATGGCAACCTACATGTATATTATATATAATTCCTGAACAAGTGAAAAAGTTAAAAATAGATATAATAGACAAATATCATGTTGCTCAAAGAACTGTGATGTATCATTAATGCAACAGAATTTTGCAAATATAAGTGAGGGAGCAATTCAACTTTAGATAAAAACTATTCAGAGCTGTATTAGTCATATTTGGAGAATAGGTCTTATTCTTTTAGAAGGGTGATATTTGGGCTGCAATATAAGATTTCTTTAAAAACTATCCACTTGTTAGGAAAATGTGTGCTTTCCCCTGCTGTTTTTTTGAAGTGCTGTGACAAGTCCATCAGTCACTCAAGCAGTCATGTTGTAAAGGCAGAGCAGCATTTCTATTTCAAGTGTGTCTGCCAGAGTACTGCTATAACAAGCCAGCCTCCATATCTCTTTCAATACAAACACCACTCAGTATTTCAATCAGATCAGATGTTCTGGGGGAGAACATTTCAGAGCTGTTGCGTGCTAAACGTCAATGTTACAATGTTATTTCATTATCCAACAAACACACCAAAAACTCCTGGAAAGTTTAAAAAAAAAAAAGAAAGAAAAAAAACACTGGTATTTCAAAAGCAATATTTTCTAAGAATGCAAGAAATCAGAGCAATGAGGAAAAAAGGTTCAGTGGAAACTGATGTTTTTTCAAAGACAAATTACTGTATGAGTTACACAGCAGTAAGATATAGAAATAGTTTGAAAGGCTGCTTTTTCAATAGACATTTGTGGTAAGATGCCAAGATACTTTTTTTTTTTCCCCCCATTAATTTTCATTACTTTCACTGACTCTTCTTTCTAACTTGCTGTTTTTTTCTGTTACACTGGTTACTAAAAAATTTTCCTGTTTTGCCTACATCAGTAAGTCGCTGCTCATTAAACACTCACAGTTACAATGCTGTAATAAGCAACCAACAGATCCATTTTAAGCAATATGGGATTTATAGATTAAGTGTTATTTTGACCACAACTGCAAATACTGCTGGGTTTAAGATGGAGCAAAGATGTACAAAATAATTTCTATTTTTACAAGAGACTGGAGTAGCATTATAATTGCTAGGCAGTAGCAATGATGCTAACATCAAGAATGGAGAGAGTGGAATCGTTTACATTGCTAGCTGCTATATCAGATATTTACAAATGCAAAGCTGGTAAAAGTTTTCCAGAGGTTGCATTTGAACTGAACTGATGCATCCTGCAGAACAGCTTCAGAGAAGAGAGAAAGAAGGAAAGATGTCTGGAACTTCCCTTTTCTCAGAGCTGTTCTCAGAAGTGAACAAATTTTATATTTTCCCACTGCATTCACAGAGCTTGTTTTTGAATGTATGAGACATACATAGTGAGTGTTTTGGGGGGATTACATAGAAATTTGGAGCAGGGTGGATTTATAAACACTGACTGATCACATAGAGCTGGGACTCTGCAGATGATCCTTCTGCCCTCTGTCTGTTTCCCCAGGCTTAAATGTCTCATTTGATGCAGTTCAGTCACTGTATTGTCATTCTTTTGAGTTCTTCTTCTCACTCTCATTTTCTTTGCTGCAATGTTATTGTAATTAGCATTTCACTGCACTCACCAGTCCATGTCCAACGCTCCTCTCTTATGTCCACCTCTCTTCCTGTTGGTCCCATTTCAAGACTTTCTCTGACCTTGTCATAGGTCCTAGATAACCTTCATGCTCCCCACTTGGCTCTTTTAGGCTATATTAATACTCACCCCCTCTCCCTCTGGCCTTTTCCCATCTTTTCAAAACCCAACATGTCTCATGCAGTTCTCCACATTATTTCTCCATTTTCTACCAAGCTCTTCAAAATTGTTTAAGCTTCAGCAGCAAACTTCTCCACATTTTTCAGCTGTTTCTCCAGATTAGACAACTGACTCAATGCCTTTTACTAGGTCCTAGTTGCAGTCTCTTTCAACTCTTTTGCTTACTCAGGAAAGCTCTGCCCTTGGTCCATCTGAGCACTTGGTCACTATTCCCTCCTAAAATTTCACCCAAAACAATTTGCAAAAGTGATAACAGACCTGAGAATGTGAAGTACTAGAAAATTTGAAAAGGGATGGCAGCCTACACAGAATGTAGATTACAATCTCATTAGAGTAACATCCTTGTCTTTGTTTTCCTGCATATACATAAAGTGGCAAAGAAACCATTAGAACCATTTCTTCTTATTTTATTATCTGCTGTTAACATTAGTAACTGCCACCACTTAGATCTCTGGGTAGAAAGAAATTGAAATAATGTCAAGTAAAAGAAAAATGGTAATAGAAACAATAAGCCACATGCTAAGATGGTGTATATCAGTGTGAGTGTACTGAAAACTATACAGCAGTTCCAGTTTGTACTAGCTGAAGATCTGCTATCTACTGAATACATATTTGTTAGTGAGAGGAATACTAATAGAAAAATTGTTAAACTGAGGCCAAAAATCTGTCTCATAATAATAGCAACTTGATCAATCTCTTTTCTCTCTTAGGACTAATTTATATGCAAAAAATACTTGCATTGTTTTTATTATCTAAGTGAATTCTCTAATTAAAAAGCAATCAAAGGTTGATAAGACAAGCATACAATGTAAAGTGCTCAGTTCACCTACTCTGATTAGAAACTGATGTTGCATGTTTAGACTCCTTAATAAAAAATATGGATTTAATAACTGTCTATTGATGCAACTTACATTATATCTTAGAGATTTTCTTTTCTTTCATTTAAACAATAGTTGTTCTCCTTTCTTCTCCTTTCCTCTTCCTGCAGCTTCTTTCCCTATTCAGATATTTTGATTTCATTTCTCCTTTTTCTCTCCCAGGGCTCTTAATTTCTATTTATTTTCTGTAGTCCTCAGGATTGTTTAGTGATGGTAGGTAAGTAAACTGTTTACATTTATGAAGTAAACTAGTTTTAAAAGTACCAATTTCTTACCATATTTAATTTTACTTAGACCTCACCTATGTAAAATTATTTCATGTTGCATATTTCTTTACTTCTCATTTCCAACTCCTGGGCAAAAGTTTTTCAAGTATAGCATAGATTAGTTTAATTTGGTGACGAGTAATTTAATTCTCAAATGTTATCAGTATTTCTATACAACTGATTAAGAACTTCTCACACAGTGAGGCTTACACCAGGGAAGATGGCTAAGAGGTTTTCACGTTTCAAAATAATTATATATCTGGCCTACACAAAACAGTGTATGGGCAAAACCATATTAATTGTAGAAGTTTCTACCCTTTTAAAAATTATGCCTTTATACCAGGATCGACTTGAATCTACAGAGGTACAGCTGGTAAGAACTAATTTGACAAAACATTTCCTTTTGATAAAGTGAAACTTTTCACAAAGTCATTTCATTTCAAGTTTTCCATGAGAAAATAGTTTTCTCTCCATTCATTGCTCACAGATATAAATATGAACAAAAATCACAAGAACTTTCTTTCTCCAACACTCTTTCTCCAAAAGAAAAAAGAAAAATTCTTTAAGTATTGATGTTCCAAACCCAAAAAACTTCAATTTGAAACGCTGATGAAAAAAACAAAACAAAACAAACAAAACCAGATCAATTGCCAGTTTTCAATATTCTGGATGATAACATCCAAACTCCACATATTTTACCCATGGCACTGAGTTTCTAAGATGATGTTTGTGCTGGATAGCTGATGATTGAGATAACAAGCCAAAATCTCAGTTACAAAGATGGAATTTTTTTCTTTTAATAGCATTTCAGTAGTGGTCTCCTCAAGGCTTTTTGCAACCATCCAGTTGCTTTGATAGGATCTGGCAGAGTCATTGTGCTTGAGATACGCAGTAAAGCCATATTATAATTAGAAACCAAATGTCCATAACTACAATATTTTATTACATTCTAGCTTCTTTTGTTTCTCAGCTCAAATGTTCTTAACATTATTTATCTGTTTGTTTATTTAAGTGCTAGAGGAACACACTAAATTTCTAACAGTTAGACTCTATAGCAAAAGTGTATATAGACAAAAGTCCTTCCCAACCCATAGGTAGGCACAAGAGATGAGAAGGTAAGCAAGTGAATACAATTTCAAACCATCACAAGAGCACTTGCAGCTCTTTTTCAGTATGTTTTTAAAAGGAATGATACAACTTTTATAACTATTCTATATTTTTAACATAGATTTTCATGACATTTGCTAAATGACGTTTCCTTTTTCTTTCCAAATGACTTTCTGCATTGGCCTATTATTAATTGTAGAAAAGGTGAAATCTGGAAAATTTTAAACAAGTTATGGCATAAACAGATAAAGGTGGAACTGAAATGCAGGTAAATATGAGACAATAGTGTTACTTACTGCAGTGTAAGAATACAGAAGTGGTGCATGGCTTATATCAACTGTCTAATACAGCGTGTTCAGCCAAAAATGATAGAGCACTTCTACTTGTCTCTTGTCTCATAGAATAATGTGATAACATTGCTGTCAAGTTTCATTGCTGTTCGAAAAGTGACATAAATATTTTTGCACCTCTATTTTCCTTGGTGGCTGGCATAGTACTATAATATGCAGGAGAAAGTCACCGGAGGTTATATATATAACATCTAAATATATTTCTCTGGCATATTTTCCCCATACTGTGAGAGACCTAATTCACATTTGCAGAAATAATGGCATCCCAAGAGAGAAGGAGCTGTTTTAACTGCCTTTCAAGTAGTCCTTGTTTCACAATTTACAGTAGGTATTAAGTAAATGTTTGCAGAAATTAGAGCTGGTTTAAATGCAACAGAGTTAAAAAAAAAAATTGAAAATGAAAGGCAAACACCTTACTTTCTAATGCTTCAGATAGCTCATGAAAAGTAAGCTCGTTACAAACTTAATCTTAAGGCACTCAGTAATCTTATTTATCAACACTGTATGGTTTTTCTTTGGTGTTTTTTTTTTTTTTCTTGTTGTTTGTTCTTGTCTAAACAAGTATCAGTCAGAATGAAGGAGCTGTTTTCTCTGAGAAGAGAAACTATCAGGGCAGAGCATCTTAAAAATTCATCCACTTGCA